GTTTTGTGTGATGATTTGAAATAAGATCGACAAAATTTGGCCAATAAAATGGCTTGTTTTACAGTGTCCATTATGCTTTCATGATCACATTACATTGTGATACAATTGTGATATTAAACAAACACTATTGATCCCTGAAATCTTTGGTAATACCAATGTTCACTTTGTCTGGTTTTGTTGCAGTATACCCCAAATAACCTTTCCACGAAAATAATTTGGATTTATTACCATGTGATATATCACTTGTGTGTGGGATATTTTTATAGTAAAAATTTATTACTTTGAAAAAAATTTAAAATAATGGTATCCGATCAAAAGACATCAAATACTTTAGATGATTATTTTCACAAGAAAATGAAAGTTCATCAATTACACCAGAATTGTCAAATAACAAAAGAAAACATGCTGGCGATAGACCATTGTTGGAAGTTTGAACCATTTTACAAAAGGAGATGAAAAAACCAAAGGTCATTATGAAGCAACTTGTAATATTGTCATCAGAAATGGGATAGCGCTTATCCTAGTGGATTGGAAATTCATCTAGCAAATCAATGTATTGAGTTTCAGCATTCATTTGTAGTTTCGGCAACAAACCGCAGTTTTGGCATTTTCGGTAAAGTGACCAAGTTTCGGATTATTAGTTTCTATAATAATAACCTTTTTTTTCCGAGTTTCGTCATCATCACATTTTAATTTAGGCAAACTTCTATAGTGTATTTGTTTGTAGAACAGGAAATTATTCATATTGATCAATAATACGCAGTAATTCAATAAGAGTAGTTTATACAGTAGTATCGATTATTGGTTATTAATAACTTTTTCCATGCTAATTATCAGTAGCGTTATAAATTAGTTATAAGCATCTAAACAGAAGTATATTTAAGAAAAACAATATAAAAATTTTTTTCATTAATAAATGAATATCATCAACAAACTAACTTATAAAAGAGGAATACAATACACGAGAATGATTGTTGGCAAGATATGCATATGAAATTGTAATGAAGATGGCGGGTGAGACTAAAAATTGTATAATAGTCATAATAATAATAATAAAAGCATATAATAAATTGAATATCGTTCTTTCATAACTAGCGTTTTGGGGCTGAGTGTAATAAAATATAATTACAACTGAAGACTTTTCAATTAGTAATAAGAGCAATTCTCGTAATCACTTTAATAATAATGCGAGATAGAGATAGAGAAGAAAGAAATATAGATTCAATATTCTAATACTAATTTATTTAATTTCATTATATATGGTAAGAGGAAAAGGCAAATTAATAATATTTTCTACGAATGAAGGAATTACATCAATAATCTTACAGCTTGATGTGGTATTATAAAAAATAGACAAAAAACATTAATATTAAACTTTCTCAAATTCTGTAAACTTATTAATATATATCAGTCAGGCAACATTTCACGCGATCGACATGTCTACTGTAATAACTATGTAGAAATTTTGTGCAACATGTCAATTTTTACTATTAAA